GAAAAATAACAAATTATAATCAAAAACCTGAAAACAATCTATGTTGTATATTTCTGTATCTTTTCTTCTTTCCCCAGTGTGTGACATGAATACATTTAAATTTTTAATGTGCTTAAGTGCACAAAGTTACTGAAAATCAGTGTTCTCTCTTACCTGTTATCTGTGCCATTTTAATCATAGTATTTTTTGTATAATATGTAAAACAGTATGTGGGAAATGCATAACGTGCTTCTTAGTCATGGTTGTTTTTACTGCCAGAGTAACCCACATGCAGATTTTGAAAAGGTTAGATTGTGTGGCATTCTAGGGGAAATCGATGCTTAGTCTCATTGATTTGTTTATTTGCAAAAATTCTTCTAACAAGCCACGGAGTATCTACCAAATCCCAGACTAAATTCTGTGATTGCAGAGGTACAAGAAAGAAAAGACTACATTAAGTCAGGCAAATGGTCGTCTTAAATTTCAAGCTTTTAGAGGCACTTATGCCCCTCCCTTACAGGACCAGACTCAGCATGAAGCAATTAACCCATTCATTAATTCAGATTATTTGAGGGCCATGCCCTGCTATGGTTATTTCACTGACTCCATTTTTGAAGCCTATAGTTTTATGCTGAAACAAAAGGTAGGATATGGCATCTTAATTTACATATGAATACTCCACTGTATTTGCAATTGCACATTGTACTGTGCAACGTGCAGTTTGAACATCATGCTAATATTACTATTGTGAATATTCTTGTGGTTGGGGTCCCCACGGTGCTGCCTAACAGAGCAGCACACAACAGTGTGTTATACTAAGAGTTCAGGTTCAGGATTTGCTTTGGTAGAGAAGGTAAATTCCTTTAACAGAATAAAATATATGGGAACAAAAGGTCGATTCAAAAACTTAAGTATTTCAAAACCAAGTCATGCATGGTTTTCTGAGAACTGCTAGTGTTAGCTAGAACTGTGCGTGCTTATAGCAGGATTTAGTTTGTATGTTAAGTAGTTTTACCTGCAAATGTAATGCAACTAAGATTCCCGTCTCTCTTACACATTTCACAGTTTCACTTAATAAGTCATTATTTTCTAGCAGTATTCAGCAGTTACAGTTGGATACAGAATGGCTCTGGCACTCCACTGTGACCTGTAGGTGAAAAAAAACATCTCACGATGAATAATATTGTCACAATTACTAGATCAAATGAGTTAATATTGATGATGTTTAATGTAACGACAGCATGAGCAAACTACGGGGTTTTTTTTCAGTTAATCGATATCAGGTAAAGATCCAAAAGATAAATACTCCTAGCAGAACATAAAATTACATCAGAAAGAAATATTAGGGTAGAGAGGGGTTTCCTGGGTCCTATCTCATCTAATTGATGGCACCTAGGTTATAATATCACATTCATTATTATATTACCTCACTTATTATTAGCATATTTATTAGTTCCAGCAATGAAATGTAAGTTCTATCATTGTTGTGAGTGTTGAGTCTAGCCAGGTGACACTTCCTGCCTTGGCTGATCAGTCCAGAAACTTCATTTATAGAAGTCACCAAAATGGACTGTTGTGCATGTGGTGCAAAAGATAGGACTCAGCTAGCCCACTGAGCCATGGAGGAGTGTGATTCAGTCGCTTGAACATAGGCATACAGTGCCATGGAAGATCTGTTGGAGAGTCTGCTGCCTCTCCTCTGACTGGTCCCTGTTCAGGTGCTCTGGGGCATCTCAGGTGGCACTAGACATTTGTTTTCAGGCAAGGCTAAGTCTTACATTTTAGGATGGGATGAGTTACCTTCTAGAGGAATCTATTTCCATTGTGTGTGTTGCAGTAACTAGCTCATGCTAAACACCTAAGCATTTTATTTTTCAAGTTGGGTGAAATGAATCCTATACAAATAAACTGTAAACAGTTTGGTTTATTGTCCTGGTTAGGCTGTGGTGATCAGACACAGGGCTGCTCAGCGGGCATCCCCAGAAAAACGTGATTTGCACACTTTGTTATTTTTTTTACTGTATCTTGATCCTCTTTCTCACCACTTTGCTTCCTCTGGCCAAGTCTCCTCTTAAATAAACAACCTGTCCCTAATTACTTTCACAGGTTTCCTACAGATTTCATAGTTCTGTTACCTAGTCACTCTTGGCTTTGTACGGGACTGCTGGTGCAGTCACCTAGGTGCTGGTGTCTGTGCAAGACTGTAATCCCAAAAGGTCCCAAACAATTTCCTCCAGTCACCTTTGAACTCTGGTCACTTCTCCTTCAACCACCCGTGGGATCCAGCCTTCCCTCAGTGCTAGCTGTAACTTCAGTCTGCTTCTTATATTATTATCAGTGACGTCTGGAAATTTCTCATGTTGTCATGGTCTCACGTCCAGTAATTTTCCACATCCTGTTCAGTTAATTTAACCTCAGGATTATGCCAGTCCGGGCCTGGCCAGAGGTTTAGTCATTTGCTTGCAGCATTATCAAAGATCCTGAGGATTATTCCTGAACTTGACCCTGAAGTAGTCTGGAAAAATATTTTCTTAGTTGTGTGATGAGAGGAATATAAAACGAAGATCAAGTCCATTTGTTCAGCATTGAGTAAGATGATATGGCATGGTGCTGACACCCATACGCCCATGTAAAGACCGTCCTGAGATAAAACAGCTCAAAGTGAGCAAGGAGCCACTGATACTCTTAATCATATACTGATACCATCAAGTCTTCAGGACCTAAACGAATGAGGGGAAAGGCTTTAATATGATCTTGTTATTTTCTTTGGAGAAATTCCAGAGATACAGTCTGTGTGACTGCTCCTGGTTTTGAATCATTCCCAGATGTCAGATCCCAAAGGTTCAAGTTTATCTTTGACTTCGGAAGACAGTTCAGTGACCATATCATTAATATGCAGATGACACTTAGTTCTGTTTCCTTCTTGTTAGCCCAGGCAGGAGATATCTCTGTACTTTCCAGTGTCTGGCAGAGATAGGGAGCTGGACAGAAGCCAAGAAACTGGGCTCGTTCCAGAGCTTCAAACTGCTTCATAATGACTGGCCTGGAAACAAATTTTGAGGAACTTTTACTCAGGGATTCATTTGTTCAAGTGCTTCATTGCTCTTGGGGTCTTAATAGCCTCAGACTGTTCTGCACTTGCCCTCTGATGAGAAGAGCTGGGAGTATCCTCTTCAGCAAACAAAGGAAAACCAAACCAAGCCCCTCTGCCAGGCCAAGAGCATGGTTGCATCAGCTCACCTCTGCCAGAAAAGAGGGAGCTGCGTTCCCATCTCCCTTCCTCCTTATCGCTCAATCTCAGCCATGCGCTGCCTTGTGCAAGCTCTGGAGTGTGTTCGGTGCCTCCATGAGCTAACATAACTCTGCAAAACAGCAGAAACAAACAACGCAGAAATGTGGATAATTCTCTCTACCTTCCTGGGTTGCATTGGGTCTCCAAAGAGTCTAGCAAAAGCCGGGAAGAGGGAGTGGTACAGGGAAGTGAAAAGGAGCAAGGAAGAAGAGCAAGACCTGATAAGCAAGCAAGGTGGTATGTCTGTGACCAGGCTAGCATTGCAAACCTTGAGACTCGATAACCATTTGAAATTTCAGCTGCAGGCTTAATTCAGCTCGCTCTCCTTTAGTCGCTATGGCTTTCTCAGGATAAATTACACCCGCAGCTTCTTCCCAACAATGGGAGCAATTAAACGCACTGTTTACTATCTACAGAGCCCTAAATAGTTGAAATCTAATTACTTCCAAAAGACTTTCTTTCTTTTGTCCTGTGGTGACCCCAGCATTAAGTAGAATTGCTTTGGCCATCTTGCCTAGGAATGAACTTTGAGGAAGCTGGAAGCAAAATGATGTCTCTAGAAGGCATTTTCTTGAAGAATTCATTCCTGCCAGAATATTTGCTAAGCCTGAACTTGCCCACATTTGGTACATCGTGTAAAATCATTCTCCGCGCACATGTTCTCCGCTAATAACGGGCCCTGCAGTCCTTGGCATTCAGCCTACTTTTGTCTATGTCCTTTAACATGTGCGCTGTTGCCTAAGCACGCACCCCACAGCCTCCCACCCGGCCTTCGGAAATCCTTCGCTCTGCCCACATCTCCTCCTGTTGCCCACACTAGGTAGCGGGGTAGATCCAAACTCCCCAAGAGGGAAGTGCAGAGACTTGACTTTCTCCTGCCAGTTCAGTCCCCAGGTTCACGACTGGCATGCTTCCCAGGCCAGGATTAGCCTGGAGGACATTTCCTTGGGCATAGACATGAAGCTATAATCTTTTGCCTTGGAGATCTGCTCAGTAAATCACAACCACACACCATTATCCCAGCAGCATTTCCATACGCGCTGCATTTCTACATGGCCTGGGTCAACGAGTTGAGAGCCCTCCCATGCGTACCAACCTCTTCTGTCATCTGCACTGGTGCTACACAGCAGGGGTGCTGGTCCCCACAGCACAGCTTTTGAAACATCTGTATACTGAGCCTCTAATGACACTCACCATGTGAAGGGATTACAGATGACCACCTCTTTCTCTTTGATGTCTCCTCACGTAGGTCTAAGCTTACATTATCCAACAGCCTGAAGTACCTCTGCATCTGCTGCTGCCTAGTAGTCTTTGGACCTCCGTGTCAGGAGTGATATAGGTATATCTGAGGCTGTCGTAAGGAAGTGGAAAGGAGCAGGAACTTCCTAAAGTTCCTTCCAGCTTTTGACTAGTGTTTTTTGTGTTTCAGAAGATAACCCACTTCAAATTGTACTGATGGGCTTGTAGGAAATGTAGCTGCTTCTTGCTGTTCCTTTGACTTTATATCATCTGCAAACTTCCACTTCCTCCCTACTATATTTTTCCAATATGATCTCTGTGTCATTTATATTCGTGTAGTTGTGCAAATACATGCAGTTCTATTTACCTGCAGAAAATAGGTGAAACACCTTTGCATCTGTGGAAAAGAACACTTTTTTCTCCCCAGCTCATATAATTTCCCATCATTTGCCCCAACTTTGAGATCCCAGACCGTCTGTTTTATTACATTTAAAATTTATTTATTGCTTATTTAGGTATTCTCCTTACATTTATTATTTATGCCAGTTTTATTCAATCATAAACGGTACTGAGTTTTCATAGAAAAATGTATTGTTAATTTATTTATGTTTATTTCTCTTTTAGAAACAACTATATATATTTCATGTGTCTTGGATGACTTAGTGGAAATGCTGTTTCATGCAATGTAAATAATCTGCAACTAATCTCTCAGTGACTTCTGGTAAACCACGATGTTCATTCATTTCTTTTTAGATCACATTGACAACCATTGGCTACGGAGACAAAACTCCTCTTACTTGGCTTGGAAGGTTGCTTTCTGCAGGATTTGCTCTACTTGGCATTTCTTTCTTTGCACTACCCGCTGTGAGTACACCTATAAAATTTGTAAAAAGGTAATAGAAACTTCTGTAGCTCCTACCACTGTTATGATACAAAAAGCTGAAGGAAGCTCTCTACATGAAAAAAACTGTTTAAGGCTTTTTGCTCTGCGACACTAGTGAACCGCTATCCAAAATCAAAATGAAAGGTTTGATTTCATTGCTTGAGTTTTGAGGAGTTTCTTTGGCATGTACTAAACTGGGAAATAATCCTAAATTAGGCAGCATACTATTGTGTAAGGTTGAAATTCCTTTCTTTTGTTATGAATTGTGGCTTATATGTTACTGCTTCACTTTCAGATTTTTGAAAAAAAATCAGCTGATGTGTTTTTCTAAATTAGATTCTATTAAAAAAAAAAGAAATTTCTAATAGGTTGTCTTGTATGACTGTGTTGAGGCTACCAACAGAGAGTAGTAGAAAGCATTAAATCACTCAAAAGTTAATGTTGTTGAATGTAAAAGTGCAACTATCATTTTCTGTAAATGATTGTAAATACACAGAACAGTTTATTTATGTTGTTTTTATCAATGTTCAAGAGACTTTAATGGAAATGGGAATCATCGAATGAGTAAAATATAATGTAGCCTCAGAAATAACTTTGTTAGTAATATTGAATAAGCATGAAATCAGAAGTGACATTTTTATTTTGCTGTATTGTATCCAGTGCAACATATCCAGAAAATCAGTATTTTAATACTCAGATTCATTATCTATAGATCAGTATAAAATATGTATGTTATAAGAGACAAATCGAGATTAAAAGTCAGCATTTGCCGACAGCATTGAATCATCTAGTGTACCACATTTATTTTTCACTCTGAGTCCAGAGAGTATTTCAGTATCTCTGGCATATTATAATTATAATTATAATACATTACCTGTTTGTGAATCTTTGACATTTAATGGCAGCTACTGCAATTAATTCCTTTTGTTACCTAGTCACCACTAACAAAAGTTAGTCTTAGCAGGGCTACAATGAACATGTAAAAGATGAATAACCTTACACACTAGAGATGCCAGAACTTTTGTTCCTTGTGTTGCATCTGTGTACAAATACTCATTTTACTCATAAACACTTTGGTGTTGAATCTGTCTTTAAAACAAGAGATATGTGTGAGTCTTGTGCATTTCTAATATTATTTTATCCTGACTAAGAATGAAGTGGATATATTCTTCCTTATAATAATGCAGACATGCCCAGCAGAAATATTACACTCCTTGCAAACCAAGCAGGGATACATTCTCAGTCTTTGGATCTGTGCAGTAGGAGTCTAATTTGTTTTACTTATTCAAAGGTAAAAAGGCTAAAAGGGGAGAGGTTTCATCATCAGCTTTTTTCATAGCCTATGGAATGAACAACGGTGATTATTTAAATGGAAAAGAGTGAGAAGAAATAGTCTTAATCTGTTAAGCAAGACATTTTCTAACTTTTTAAAAATCAAAACTTGTAATAAGCACTGCAAATACAGACTTTGAAGTCCATGTATTATCTGGCATATCTGGCAATTGGTCATTTCATCATTCCTGGTTTAAGTTCCTCTGAATGTTCCTGCTTGATTTCAGATATAGATCTCCATGGCCTTTATTGTTGCAGGAGCACAGCGTAGCACAAACCCAAGCAATGGTTGGGATGAGTGGTCATTGGTAGCGCCACAGATGTTGTATCTTAAGTAAGGAGTCTCCTACCTCGTGATGAAAGAGGCATTATTGTTAAGCCTCATGCTGTCATATACTGTCATAAATGTGTTATCTGAAACAATCATATGGGGTAACATCTTCACAAAATCTTTGTAGTCAATTATATATGTTTGTTGAAAAAACTACCCACATCACAATAAATGGCGTGTTGTATTGCAGGGCATCCTTGGCTCAGGATTCGCATTAAAAGTGCAGGAACAGCATCGTCAGAAACACTTTGAGAAAAGAAGGAATCCAGCTGCAAGTCTAATTCAGGTAAATATGAAATCAGTGAAAAGATAATAGTAGGTGATTTAAAGTACATATCAAAACAAGTTTTATTATTGCAATGTGGAAATTTTTGTGGAAATAATATTTAGCAGATTCATTAGTTTAATGAAATAATTTTGTTCAGTGATTCCCATGTGTTGCCATAATTATGTATATAGCATTTCTATGTGTAGTTTTTGAGTTCTTCTATCCATGCTGTAGAAACCAAGTCAAGGATGTCAATTGCATACCAACAGTTAGCGAATTACTTGGAAAAATATAATTGATCGCTGGACAACCCAACAGATAGCACAGCAGTCTTGCGTGTATTAAGTGACTTTTCATCTTCTGCAGGGTTTAGAGTGCTCCAATGAGTGATATACTTGGTGAAAATTAAGTGTCTTGCCTTGAGAATTGCTTTCACTATTAGTCAATTCAAAGCTAGAAATGCAGGTGCTAGCAATTCCAAAATTTCTGAAATTGTCTGAAGTGGTTTCAGCTCCAATACTGACATGATGGTGCAGATCAACAATTTAGAAAGATTTTTTTTAAGCAAAAATGGCATGATATTTTTAAACAGCTTTTTTATATTGATTTTTTCCTTAACTTACAGTCCTAGTTAAAAATGAGAAAATCCTCTAAATAATTATTTTGCACCAAGCTTTACTTGGTGCACTGAAAAAAAAAAAAAAGGGAAATAATCTTCTAGCATCCTAGTTTATTTTCTTCGGATCCCAAGTGTTTTATATGTGCTATTTGTGCTGGTTTTTTAAATTCTGAAATAATAAAACCAAATAAAGAAGCTGAGCATGAATATACTAGAGTTCTATGATAAGTTCAGGATAGATGACAGATTGTCTTTGAAGCATTCTTGAAGTTGATAAATGTTTTCCATTATTACTGTTCAATGATTATTAAAAACTAAATATTTGAGATTAATATTTATTAGAATAATTAATAAATACAAACCCACTCCTTTTGTATCTATTGTACCATAGAATGACTGTCTAGGATATTTTCTAACACATATAGTCTAATCTACTTCTTCCAAGTTTGGTGGTTGCCAGAGGAAACATACAATAGATTTAGGTTTTGAGTGTAGCTCTTATTATTATTGTATGACAGTTCAACCAAAATATTAGTAAGACGGCATGCTAAATAGATTAAGAGCAGTTAGCTGACTGATTTCAGAAAGTGACTCTCAGTGGGCAAAAATCATTGTGAAAGACAGACATTTGTGGTAGGATCCCATGATCCTACATGATACCACAGGCTGTTCAGCATTTACATGTTCATGTCCAGCATTTTTGGTGATCTGGAAATTAATATAAAAATGCTGATGGAAATATTTGTCAATGGCACAAGGCCTGACAGAATAGGAAAGATGAGGGCAGGCATATGAGAATGAACCCAAGGATGATCTGGGTGACTTTACAAGGTGGAATGATTCTTACCAAATGTCTTAATACACCAAAGAAATGCAAAACCAAAAGTTGATCTAGAGACAATGAATTCTCACTATTACAAGAGGCCTCTATCCCAGTGTTAGTGACTCTGGAAAGGATTTGACGAAGGATGAAAAACATAGAGGAGAAAGAGTGGGAAAGAAGGGTCAAGATCTTCATACAAGTTCCCAGTATGTTACGCCAGCTGGTTTACTACAGCCCTTAAATACAGAATCAGAAAGGTAATGAGTAGGAGAAGGCTGATATTACCACTGTGCATGGTGATGCTCATACTAACATACTAGATATCAACTCAGCATCTACAGTTTGTAAATAAGACTGGAAAATTGGAGAAAGCAAAGAAAACATTGGAAAAAAATGAGTTCAGGGCTGGAGAAAATTTCATGTTCATAAATGCAGGATGTGTTTGAACTGCATACTGTTGTCTAATATAACAGTGCCAAGGCTTTTTTAAGTCATCTGTTGTGGATATTGATAGTGAACTAACATGGAAATCAGCGTGCTCTAGCTTATCAGGATAATGTCTATTTTCTAATCAGTTGCTCTGGAGAATTTATCTATGCTAACTCCTCTGTTGCCACAGATATACTGCCTGCTAGAGCTTTTACCTGACTTAAAGATAGCTAAGGTATTGCTATAGAAAACTGAAATGTTTCATATGCACATACTTTTCTCAATTTCTTTAACTTATAAGAAATATTCAGTGTGAATATTATTTAAACATAAAAGTCTAGAGACGAAATACTTGAGCCTATAGGACTATTGAATGTAGCAGGCAGAAACATAGCAAATATCTCTGGCTATAAGCCAAAACCAGAGAGTTTCAAATTAAAAATAATGCAGAGATTTTTGACAGTGGAAATGATCAACCAGTGGAACAATTTACAAAGTAAGTGACGGGTTCACCATCTGCAGTTGAAAACTAGATGTATTTCTGAGAGATATGCAGTAGGAAAACACAGGGCATTAGACTCCGTACAAGAATACCTGGATGACATTTAATGGTTGACAATATACAGCAAGCGTGGCTACTCAGCTAGTACAAATTAATATAGTTTTGCTGACATCAGGGAAGCTGTTCCACATTGTAGAACTGAGGATCTGTCTTACTATCTACATGTACTTATAAATCTAAACAGTGAATACATTTTCAATGCTATGCTTTGGTCACTTACCTTTGAAATTATTTATTTCATGTTTTTAAACATTTGGCAGTGTTTCAAACCGCATAGAATACTTCTCTTTTCTTCTAAATGCTTTTTTTTCTGGTTTTCATTATCATTACAAAATGTATTATGACAATTTCTTTACCTCACACTGCAAGTTTGGGTGGGTGTCGCCATGGACTTGTCACAAATAAATCACTGCAATGCTTTTTTGAGCACCTTTATGCGCTGAACATCTTCTGGTGCTTCCACGAAGCCAGTTACTCTTGCTTTACCATGTAAAGTGTACTGATTCGTAAAAGGTTTGGTAGGTTTTTACTGGCACTTCCTGAATCAGCCTAATAGAGCACATCCCAATCTGAGCAAAATCCCCTCTCTCCGTACTCAGTGCGGTGGCATTGTCACTTCATGTTCTTGGTTCCTTTTTGCTTTTCTATTGTTTCCCCATACCAGGCTTCTTGGCGGTTTTATTCTACCGACACCAGCCGAACAAACCTGACAGCCACCTGGCGATATTATGAAAGTATTCTTCCTCCCCTCAGGCATGTATCAGTGCTATGAATGATAAAAGAAAGCCATGATTTGTATTGGTTACTAATCTGCTTTTCAATTTTTTGTTTCATCCCCTGCTCCCTCTTGCCTTGTTTTTTTCTTTTTTACCATATATCCTGCACGTAGTGTGTATGGCGTAGTTATGCGGCTGATGAGAAATCGGTTTCCATTGCTACCTGGAAGCCTCATTTGAAGGCCTTGCATACCTGCAGCCCTACAAAGTAGGTACAAATATGGCAGCTGGTGCTGTTCTCGATGTCTGTTCAAGCTTATAGAGAATTACTATTTGTCTGTTTCGTCTTGTTTTGTCTTCTTCAGTGCTCTCATTAAAAATTTCAACTAACAAATCCTATCGATATTATCTAGGAGCCTAGGACAGTGGGACAAATACAAATCATTGTCATTTATCTGAGCACAGGTGTTAGAAACATTTCCCCAGACCCCACTCATATATCAAAGTTAATGTTTCACTGAGTTCCCAATTATCTCTAAGGAGGAAAATATTAAGTATAATGCAGAGCTTCCTCCTTGATTTAATGGTATTTTTATGCCTGTGCCTCTATATAAAGCTATAGCTACACATGTACCTGCGTGAGGGAAGAGAACCTTGTGGTATTCTGCAGGTGAATGCACTGGGGAATGTGCTCCTTTTCATCATAACTTCTGGTATATTCAATATTTCCTTAGGGCAAATTATATCCTCAGTTACACACATAGTTAGTGGAAGACGACTAAAAAGGCTTGATGTCACAGTTTGGCAGACAGGAAGTATTTGTCCTAGTTTGGGTAAGAATTTACAGAGCAGTGGCAGCCCAAGACTCTTCAGTAATTCAGTAAAAGATTTACCAGAAGGTAGTAAGTCCACGGATTCAATGCGGGGCACAAATAAGGAAGTAAAAGATACTCGATAAAGATCAGAAAGGAGAGCATTGAGAGCCTTATGGGAAAGCTCTGATAAGCATCCTAACTGTTGTTATTGCAGACAGTGCAAGAGAATTAGTGGTTTCTCTCAAAGCTGGGTGATGAACATCCACATGACAGTAAGAAGGTAATCGTGTGCCAAAAAAGCTCAGCCAAAAAGAGGTTTGGCTGGGTACCCAAAGCTGATCTTTGAATTTCAAAGAGTTGACAAGAACAGAGCCATAAGTAATCTATTACCATAACTGTAATTTCAAAATGCTCCAAACTAAAAGGAGCTTTTAGATTAAAAGTTACACGGAATATTGATTTTTGACATATACAAAAAGGTTTGGTACAAAAACATTGGTACAAAAGGATGGATATAAAATTACATAAGCTATGAAGCTGTATCCCACCTAAAATATTCTGAAATATGACTGTCCCTCAAAAGTGCATCTACTTGTTATTTTAAATAAGTGTATTGCTGTGCTATCCTAAAATTAAACCTTTTTATTTACCAGAGATAACTTTATCTAATAAGAGCCTACAGCTTTCTGTTATATATGTGTCAGCAATGCATTTTCCCTAAGTGCTTTGCCAACTCAGTCTGCAGTGGTATGTACTAAGCATGTTATGCATGTGTTAAAACAACTGAAAAGTTTCTTTTTCAGAAGCATTGTAGTTACGAGTCTTGCTTGAATGTTTTTGTGGTTGCAATGTAATGTGTGTGTTGTACACTAATTAACATACCAATTTATGTGTATCATGTATCTAACATCATCTGTAACTAAGTAATGTGATTACTATCTGCATAACAAGTATGTTTTTCCCTCCCACTCCCTGACCTGAAGAAAGGAACAAGGGGAAGCTTCTAGCAGGTTTGTAGTTTCTTTTATTCCTTTTTTTCCATGAAATTGCTGCTTCTTAATGGCTTTTAGATGTTTCAGATTCTGCACAGTAGGTTCAGTGAACTGTAACTCTTAACTGATAATAACCACAAATTGCATTTTTTTAAGCTCATATCGATAGACTAATGCTGCTGAAATTTGCTTCTTTGTCCCAGTTTTTGTATGGAAAAACTAGTCAATTTTCTACTTTTTAACTTTGAAAGGGAGCTCAGTTTGAACAGTGACAGAGTAGTGAATGGAGCAGCCTCCTTAGAACCAGCTCCTGGGTTAGGACACGAACCCCGGTTTCTGCCATGAAATGGATGCTCAAGGTTTCCAGGAATCGCAGTGGAAGCTACAGGCATGTAGTTGAATTTGGCTTTGTGAACCAGCCCATCAGCCCCGTCGCAGGGGGAGAACATCCCCGATAGCACTGACGGGCTGTCAGCTCGACAAGGGTCTGCGCTGCCCTGCAGCAGCATCCTCAAGGCTTCTTCAGTGCCACGTCCCCACGTTTTCCCAACCTTTTCTTGCCATCCTCTCCTAAAGAGCATTTTGGGACACGACAGGTGGGGGGAAAGCACCACTGCAGTGCCTCACCTCCTCTCACCTGCACGGTTTGCTCTTTCACACGGCCCCATTTGGGCAGAGGAAGCAGCTTGGCATCTCTCCTTAAATAAGCCCACCGCTACCAGCTGGGAGGGCAGGTGGGATTTCCACCCAGCATGGATGCAGGCTGAGAACCAGCTGCCTACAGCATGCAGAGGCAGGCTTGGCAGGGCTATCCGCCTGGGATAAATAAAGCCCTGGAGATGCACAGTCCTAAGGCAGTAAGAGAAAATGCTGCTCTTTGCCGCACTTCTCTCTGGAATCCTTAGGGACAGGATAGGACTTGGTGGCTACAAGAGAAATTACTCTACCTCCACAACTCATTAGGGATGAGAGTCCGCAGGCGTTCAGCAGCCAGCACTGCGGCATCAGCACTATCAGAGAAAAGTGGAGTTTACCTCTGCGCAGAAAAAACGATGGAAAGCCAAGGAAAAATGTGTCGGTGACACATCAACTCCTGTAATACATCTGCCCCCAAGTTGTGTAGTGGTTCACAAACTCTTCTGGGTTATCCAGTCAGGGGTGGAAAGTCTCCACACCCATTACCCATGTCTCATTCCACTTTCCAGATTGCTCTTCCGGCGCCTGACTCCATCCTTTTCCCCGATGTGCACGTAACTGCTGTTAGTGTCACAGGAGCTCAAGGGGGACTGGCTTTGCTCTGAGATGTCCCTCACGAGCACTTCACTTGCCCTGTCAGTTCTATGACTTTTCATAGACATTACCTCCATGGGCTCACTAACAGCGTAATGATCTCGTTAACTTATTACAGCCTGATGGAAACTTTTTGCCCTCACCAGCCATATTTCCTACTCCTTCAAAAGCAACATTCAAAATTGACTTCAGCTTTTTTAAAGGTGAGACTGAAGTTGGCAGCAAATGAGTACGTACCTCCAAAATGGTGATTTGTGCAGATGGAGAGGTTATTTTCAATTGTACCTGCCAGCACTTAAAGAGACAAATTTACTTACGATAGGTAGAAGCTAGATGCAAAAAAAAACCCTAGCTGTCAAAAAACTCCATGTTAGTGATAACTGTTGGGGTTTTAACAGTAGTCAATGATGTAGCCAGATTTTTTTCACTTTATTTTCACTGAATGGAAGATGTTTGTCCCTTCAGAAACTCTTAACTAATATGTTCACTGCTGCAAATTAGTATACGCATAGAAATGAACTAGTTACCTCCTGAGATCCTAGTCTACAGTAAAAACCCTACAGACCACTCAGTGCCTTTTAAAAAAGGTGTGTTTTGTTGGTGGCTGTTTATTGTTCTTAGCTGATATATTGCTGTGTGTTTGTATCACTTGAAATACACGTGGTGTGTGTCGTCTTTTGTGGTAAAAATGTAAATGATGCAACGTACTTCAAGATAACTGTCCTCGACTATTTAACTCCTTTCTTACTGCGATGCTGAGTGACTTGCATGGGATGCTATGTGAAGTAAGCTGCTTCTTGTTTCATTCTTCAAATGAAGATGTGTTTGCACAAGTAGTGCTTTGGATTGCTTTCTGAATATGCTCTTTGCTCTGTATTCCATTCTAATAACAGCGTAGAAGAAAAATTATTACTTTAGGTAAAAGTTAATTGTTTTCTTTCCTGCCAAAATGACTTTTATATTTACAGAAATGAATTCTTGCATTTTGTCATGTATAGACCTACAGTCTTTCATTAGGTACCTAAATGTTGCTGTGCTTATGAGACTGATAGTTTCACACTGATTTTAAGAAAAATACTTATGTTGTATTTCTCAAAATATTATACACAAGTTTTCTAATTAATCATCTATCAAAAGTAATGGCAGACAACCTCTCTGGTGTATCCACACTGTAAATCAGTCATATATATAAATCAATTCTAAAGTTCTGCAAGTCATTTAAAAAACCTGTATGTTAAATTCTCCATAAATTCACACGCTGAACACAAGTAATATTTATTTCTGTTCAATTATACAGTGTGGCTGAAATTCTTCCTGTGCAGGAAACTAGATCAAGACTGATGACTCTTACAACATCTTGAGAGTATAAGCAGTCTTAAGTTATGTGTAGGACATGCACTGGGTGTCTGCAAAGAATAAATGTCACCCATCTAGTGTTGTAACTAGTGAGCCTGAATATGAATTCCCTAATCAGTCAACTCTCCCTGGTGCAATGAGGAGGAGTTTTGCCATTATGGGAGCTTGGAGGAAAAACTCATCCCTGCTCTGAGGGAAACAAGTAAATTGCACTTTGGAATTCTCTCCACCTCCTGTATCATATCTGTTTCTAAAAATAGATTTACTGTAAACTTTCTGCATGCATCATATGAAAACGAAATTGCCAGTGACGCAGAATCTAACTTGAGGTGGAAAGCCTAACCCCTTACCTAGCAGTGGAATGCTTAGTAACACGGTCCTCTATCTCCCCTCACTCCTAGTAAGCTTTGTAGTAATAAACAGAAGCTCTTCAGGATGTACACCCCTCGGAAACATAGGTATTCAGCATCCTGCCTATTCACATGATGTTTGAGAATGCCAACTAACATCAGGTGCATGATTCATTTACTTCCCCTCCTTAGTGCGTTAAAGTTCCTTACTTCTCCAAAGGACGTTTCTTTTTTTTTTTTTTTAAGTGCTTGTGATTCCCCTCGTTGCTTGTTGCCTGCACTGACATTAAGACAATGGCAATTATACCAGTTCTTTGAATCTCATCTGGTCAGACAATTGCAGTGTGCAGCACGCCGCAGTTTGCCGAAGCCCAGTTCCCCTCCTTTCCCTGAGACTTGAACTTTTGGAATGCATTACCCTGTGGAGATCTAAAACTGGGGCTGAATATTTGGGTAAAGACATTTCCCCAAGTCCAAGAGGATTTTTATAACCACGGCAGTTGAGTTCTCCATCTAATAATTGGTCGGGAATATTAAGCTATAACAAGCTAGGCAATATCAACAGTCAAAATGTGCAATTGTTGTCAAGAAGAATCCCCTTGGACACAGCCTGTGGAAGCTGTGCCTGCACCCTGTTCTGGAAGGTAGAGGAATGCATGTGAAATCAACCATCTGCTTCAGCTGAATTCTGTGGAAATTGTGTCTCTTACCAAAAATGGTAATTCCTAGATGGATGGATCTTACGGGAAGAAACCCTTGGTTTATAACTAAAGCTTATTACATTTTATTTCTTACTTTTTAAAAAATAATTTAAAAGGCAATAGCAGTACAAACTGATGATAGAAAATGGAGATAAAAATAGTTTCTCTTCATCTGGAAACTGTTTTGAAAAAGGAAAAAATACAGAAAACACATGAACATCATTTATTTTTTTTCTGTTTGACAATTGAACCTTAAGACATTATGTCCCTGAAATTCCTGTTATTACTCATTGAAGGTATGAGATATAACACTACATTTCTTGGGTTCATGCTCCTAGCATGAGACTGGTGGAGAAGTCTTGAGTGTTTGAACTTCAGGCCTCACTGTACTATCCATTGGATTTGCATTTGTTCAACTTAGCTTAATTTCAGTGAAGTCATCTGTAGGCATGTGTATTTATTCAAAGTTATCTGCTGAAAATTGGCACGTACATTTGATTGCTGTTGTTTGTCATGAGTGATAATTTTTGTCAGTTTTAGCTTCTGCCTCATCTCGAGATTCAAAGCATTCCCCCTCACCCTCAAGCCCTCCAGCTACTTCTGATTCATTTCAATTTCTTCCTATTCCCACTTTCACCAGCCTGCTCCATCTGAAAATCTGAAAAAAAAAACATTGTAAATTGTGACTAGTAGTAATCAATAGTGCTGCAGGTATGAAGGCTGAAGCAGGGCAGAAGATAAACTTCATCAGAAATGCAGGAAGGTAGGTAGGGAAATAGAGGAGTGGGACTGGGAGTTAAAGAGATGTTCAGTTAACCAAAAAGTGTAGTAAGATGGTCCATGGAAAACAGAGTGAGCTGTTTTGTGAGTATGGGAGAGAAAAGCAATGGTTTGTAGGCATTTATCAATTCAACCAAAATCTTTTCAAGTCTAGTCATTTGGTTCAGCACCGAAGTTATCATTCCCCCTGCAATGAAGCTACAGTGACCTCTAGTGTCCCCAAACACCTCTTCCTTCATAAATCAAAGGTGGAAAAGACGGAATTTAAGAGAGAAGAAATAAGAACTAGAAAGTCCTTTGCTATCCCAGGGAAGTGAACGGCTCATGCTGATGGGAAGAATAAGCAGTAAGATCCTACAACTGACCTTCCAGAAGGCAAACAAATAGAGAAAAGTCACTTGCTTTTTTCTGACAGATGCCGGTTGTAATTGATCTCCACTAAAAGATGCTTCAAAGCTACAGTGTTATAGATATGAATATATTCCATAACTTGCAACCTGCAAGAATAGAGATATTACCATCACCAGGGAAGATTGTAATAGGAAGCAAATATGGGCTGCATCAAGAGGAGCGTGGCCAGCAGGTCGAGAGAGGTGATTCTCCCCCTCTACTCTGCCCTCGTGAGACCTCACCTGGAGTTTTGCGTCCAGTTCTGGAGCCCCCAACATAAGAAGGACATGGACCAGTTGGAGAGGGTCCAGAGGAGGGCCACGAAGATGATAAGAGGGCTGGAGCACCTTTCCTATGAGGACAGGCTGAAAGAGTTGGGGCTGTTCAGCCTGGAGAAGAGGAGGCTCCGGGGTGACCTTATAGCGGTCTTCCAGTACCTCAAGGGGGCCTACAAGAAAGATGGGGAGAGGCTGTTCAGGAGGGCCTGTTGTGATAGGACAAGGGGTAATGGTTTTAAAATAGAGGGAGGTAGATTCAGGTTGGATATTAGGAAAAAATTTTTTACCGTGAGAGTTGTAGAACACAGGAACAGGTTGCCCAGGGAGGTGGTTGTTGCTCCATCCGTGGAGACGTTCAAGGCCCGGTTGGACGAGGCCCTGAGCAACCTGCTCTAGTTGGAGATATCCCTGTTCCTTGCAGGGCGGTTGGACTAGATGACCTTTGAAGGTCCCTTCCAGCCCTAACCATTCTATGATTCTATGATTCTATGATTCTATGTATATAAACCAAGTGGGATAAACTATCAATCACATAAGGTTCAAGAAATGATGGACAAACACACATCTAAAGGAATGCAGAGATGACTGGAGGCAGTTGTGATTCTCTCAGATCCTTGTCATTTAGGTCTGATTCAGGAATTCGTGTAATTTCATTTCCCTGATTTCTTTCACATGTTTTTTGCCTTTTGGATCACCATTCAACTTAAAGTTTGGGAGTACTTACAGGGATACATGAATTTCCCATGGCCATTAACAGGTTTACATTAATTCAAGGAATTTCCTTTGGATGCCATGCAAAAAGAGAGGAGAAAAGGGGAAGAGAGAAAAATATAATAGGCTAGGTCCAGCAAGAGGTGAATGATTTCTAGCACAGCACTAGACAGTGCTAATCCGACCATCATTAAATCAGAGTAAAGGGCCCTAAAGACTTCAGTGACTACTGATTCAAGTGCAGAATGCCCAAAGATGTTTGAAAGGGCATAAGATCGTCTCCATTCTGTATCTCTAATACCATCTCTACCACTATTGCAACAGAGGATCAAGAGCCAGGAACTATATAGTCTATAAGGAAAGTTCTGCTCTGATTCAGTTATTCCTTCATGATCTGTTATTCATCATACCTAGAAGAGCTCCGTGGCAGCCTGGTTCCAAGGACAGCAGCTTTCTTTTCCCAAGCATGAATCCTCCACTGCTGCAAGTCATGTAATTTATGCCTGTGCTGAGTAGGACCCAGTGACTTCAGGAATGTTTCCCACCAGTCTCAGAGTAGGAACAGGGATCCAAGAAGCGAAGAACTGCTGTAACCAGTGTCTTTGGAGAAACTCGAAGGATGCAAAACAGAGTTTCCAAACCACACTTCCTTCAGGGGCTGTGTTTCTCTTCACGATGCAGCATCCTCCGCATGGACCCTTGGCATGCCATTACATTCCCATTGCTACAAAATAGATTAATTTTTTTAAGTATGAGGTCTGCATTTTAAATGAATATTTCCATTCTCAGTGTTGCACTCTCGAAAAATGTCTCTAGTACAGATGAAGTGTCTACTGTTCCTTTCACCATTGCCTCATGGCTTTGATTTGGAGAACTAAAGATATTCAGGTTAAGTAGCCATTGTGTACCACTCAGATTTTATAAATTAAATAACCACGTGTACGAATCATTTAAAGGCAGCCATTGCTTTCATTAGTACAAATTAATTGCAGAACAACATGTGTGCTTTTTTTCATTTTTTTTATTTTCATTTTTAATTTGGACTAAATGGGATTATAAAAAATGTGTTCTATACTGATTAATTTATGGCTATTTTATCAATTTTCCTTTCATTTTAATTAATGCAACAGGAAGAGAGCTTTTTTACTCTATGATTTGTCAAAAAAAAAATATAATTTGATTTCATGCTTCAATAGCAAACACAATTTGAGCCATAAGAAGAGTTTAAAAAAGGCACAGGGAACTCATGCTCATGCCTAGGAATAATATCTATAAGAAGTCCATTTTGATTTTGTTGCTCATGCTGTATAGTATGACAATACAATAATGTGGTTAATAAGTATTTTACAGCTTACATTTTCATTAAGTTGTACAATGCAAAAGATTCCTGAGCTGAAATGTAATTCAGTCTTGAAATGTAGTTTTTATTGAAAATTAAATTTTAGAACTCACTTTTCTTTCAAATGGTAAGTTCTGTGGGTCTTTTGTATTGGATATGCAACAACACACAGTACTGCAGGTCTGAGTAATAATTTGCAATGGAAATGGATAACATTTCCAGCACCACGATGTGTTTATTTCAACAATTGCTTGCTTTGGGCAAGAAAAGAAAGGGATTACATACAGAAATTATAGTAAAGGTATTCTTTCAAGTGATTAACCATGCCATATAGAAATACATTTATCTAATAATCTTTCTATTGATGTGCTCATTTTTTAGCATTATTGAAAATTATCTCATTATAAGCTTCCCAGCATGTGCTTTGCCTGCTACAAACTGCATCCTTTCTGCTCTCAGCGATGTTTGTGTTCAGAATGAAACGTTGTGCTATGCTATGCTATGCATGGACAAAAATGTCTGATTATCTCAACATTTCACAGCCACAGAAGTTTATAACTACTTTCCATTTCGTATAATTACACATTAAGATTGTATTTTCAGAGTGCAGTAGGTTAAACATCTAAGAACCACATAGTCCATGTTAGCATTAGTTAATTAGCTGCAGAATCAATTTCTGTTGAAAACGTCTTATGGGCATGCTCAAGTTAAATGCAAAGACTTTGAGAGTACTAGAAAGTGTCTTAACTTCAAGTACAATCGTAATTTACAGGTAGACAGTCTTTGCTATAGGTGTCTTAAAAGCACCCCTAAAGCCTACACTAGGGCCGGCAACATCATACCATGAGCAGCTACTGCACTGCTCCCATCATCTCTCCCCTTGCAAGAACAGGACCACTAATCAAGATGGCCATTCTCTTGTACAGTCAATTGAACTTAACCTTGTAGGTAAAACAAGGTTTCCAGACCTTGGTATCGGACTTCCCTTCGTGCCTTCTGCTACATAGGCAGTAGGTAAAACAAGGTTTCCAGACCTTGGTATTGACTTCCCTCCGTGCCTTCTGCTACAGGAAGAGAAAAACAAAGGCAAAAATGTTTAATAACAAAAAAACATAGGCGGATAGTCATGGTGATCACAAGATGTTCATCAGATATGTTTCAACATGAACAAAGATAATTTAAGCGCTGGGAAGCAGAAAATCTACATATCCCACACTGAGCTGACAAGAGGGGAGGGTTATAAGCACAAGAGGGAAAAAACAAGCTTGCAATTGGCCTACTATAAGACCACAGAGCCACCATTGATCCAGCAGTCATAGTTATGAGCTTGGCTGAGCTCTTGTACCTGTCCTAAGGCACCTGTCCAATACCACCTGCAGGTAGTCAGCTCCCAGCTTAATCTCCAGCAATGACTTTAGCAAACACACAGCGTATCATTCCATTTCCATTAATCAGTCATCATGCTGTTTTTTGGATGTTTTGTTAATTTTAGTTTTGTCTTGTCCAAGTAAGTGCTGTAACAAGAATTCTGGATATGGGTAGTCATTAACGATGCATATGAAATGTTGGAAGTGCCACATTTGGAAAAGCATGAATATACTAACATTATTTTTGCCTGCTTAAAAAAAAAAACACAAACCAACACTACATGGCATGCAGTAATAATAGAATACATTTTGTTCTTGTTTGTCTGAAGAGATGGCCAGAAATGCACTGAGCTGGGCTCACTAAGATGAAAAAAAAGCTATTTAAAAGTCAATAAATAAAAAAACAAAATCTTAAGAGATTAATCTGTAACAATTGGGTGACATTTGTTTCCCTTTGTTAATTTTAATTTCCTTTAGGAGGTTATTCTGTAATGTAAAATAGACTGCCATTGATAATGTCTCTATCAAAAAACAATTACATCAAATCAGTTTCATTCCCAAAGGAAATATATTCAATGAAAATAAAAGTGTGCAAGAAACAGATTCATACTATTGAGAATTTTTAGAAATTATTTCCTAATATCATACAATAGAAAAAAAAAAAAAAAAAGGAGTGAGTGGAACCACGAAATAAAATGCATTTCTCTTCTTCACAGTCAAAAGCTAAGTTTTAAGGAGCGGGTCCGGATGGCCAGCCCACGAGGTCAAAGTATAAAGAACAGGCAGTCTTCAGTTGGAGATCGCCGGTCACCAAGTGCCGACGTTGGCACCGAGGGCAGCCCAACCAAAGTCCAGAAGAGCTGGAGCTTCAACGACCGAACCCGCTTCAGGCCCTCCCTGCGGCTGAAGAGCTCGCAGCCCAAACCCGTGGTCGACGGTAGGAGTTTTTCACGCCTCGTTTGCCGTTGTGCGCTGCTGCCAGCCCGCTCACACTCTCGCACACCTGCGCCGTGAACGCAACCTGGTTTTGAAAAACAGAAAGAATTGTTGTAGAGGGGCAGAGATACTAGAAAGCTATAGCCCGCTTCAAAGAGCATGCCGACGGAAATTATTTTTTAATAAGAAATCTTGTGTCAGTGATGCGTAGGGAGTGACCGGTGGAAAACAGGTCATTGCGGAAAATCACAGGTGGACTAAACATATCCCACGGGTTTGGCCGCAGCAGTTCTGCTATCACAGCCCCTCTCCATCGCTGGGCGCAGCTGCTGCCCGAACCCACTGCCTCTCCCTGGCACCAGGGCCGCCGCCACGCTGGCCGCGCCTTTCCCAGCCGAGAGCACAGCTTGTACAGCACTGGTCCCCTCCAGGCAGAGGAGCTTGCCGAGGAGCTGGGAAGTGCCCTTATACCTCTACCAGGGATACAACCACCTGCCACCAAGAGATGTGCTACTGAGTGCTTCAAGTTTCACAGGGTTGCATCCGGTTCAGTAAGGCAGGTGGCATTAGCAAACAAAACCAGTGTTATTGCTTTTGTGTATTGCTTCCCAAGGGGTACTTTAGAAGTGGGAAAGACTCCTAACGTGTGAAGAAGTGGATCTTTGTGAAAATGGCTTGCTGACCCCGCAGCAGGTGGGAATGTAGCCTTTCCCGCACGCTGCTTCTCCACGGGAATGGATGCTGCCCCTCTCTGCTCTCCATTCGCCAGCTAAGGTCCTCCCGGGCATTAAACTAGCCACTGTTCGGCAAAGATCTTCATCTTCCAAAGCTTGCCAAAAGGGAAACCAGTGACTCCCCTAACCAGGGAGCAGTGAAGCGGGTGAGAGCAACCCCCCGACAGGCAGGAGCCGAGAGCGCGGGACGAACCCAACCGTTGTAGAGACAGGTCCTGCGCTGAAAGGGCACAGCTCAAGGGGTACCGCTGTCCCAGTGGATTTGAGTTTCTCCATTCACATTTTCCCAACTTATGAATGGTTTGTTCTTTCCTGTGGGATCCCCCAGGAAGAAAATACAGACTGGCTCTAACAGAGGCAGTGACCCTGACTGTATGGGAAAGGCAAAACATAAATTATTTGATCCAAGTAAAGAGATATAACTTTAAATCTTTCTGTGATGGCAATCACACATGTTACATCCAACAATTGTGGTAAAACTAATTAGACAGAAGTGCGATTTCGGTGTCCACTTCCTTTTGAAGAGCACATATTATCACAGACATGTAGGTTTCAAAATACCTATTGAACTGAAACGCCCCATCCCTCAGCTGAGGACGTCCTGCGCAACACATCTCTTCAGGAAAAGCCTGGGTAAATAAACATTTCCTGGAGGACAAACAAGACAAACCAACAATGTTCGCTAAGGTCATCTTTCCAGGCTAGCCCACCCCTGCAGAGACCTCTCAGATGCACAAATCATGAATTTGGCTGTGTTGCAGTGAGCTGCTGGGGTGTACCAGCCACCAGGCTGCTATCCAGGTTCCTCACCACTCCTCGCTCCGTTCTGGGACATGGGCCCTGGCTCGCGTCCCACAGCAGCTGCGGCACAGGGGCTGTGTGATTCCAGCCCGGGTCTCATGCAGACATGGAGCTGGGACGAGGCCACTTGCACTGCAATGGGAAGTGAGAAATGCCCTAGGTACCAGAGTGGTACCCTGTCTAAATTTAGGCTTCCTACATAATCATTTATATAGCGCGAGTATCTCCCCAAAACCACTCCAGAAGTGATTTCATAGGTTAGGCTCCTGTACCTTGCACTGCGCCTGCAAGTGACCTAAGAAGAGAATAATTTGTTGAGCATGCTCCCAGGGTATCAGCAGCTCACTTCTGCTCCAGCCTTGCAGCCCACACCTCGCTCAAGTATCCGTTTAGTTTTTCATCAGCCCATTTGTCACAGAAATATTTCCTCAGCATGTCCTCTATTTTGTCCTGTACATATTGTCATTAATAGCAAGGATCTGCACAGGAAGATCTTGTTCCCTCTTATTGTCTCCCTCTCATGGAAAAGGTGGCATAAACAGCACCTTGAGTATTTCTGTAGATAAATATAATAACAGAGCGTTCACTGCTGTGCATAAACCCTTAAAGATCTTGCCACTCCTCAGGGCGAGCGCAGTCTGTTTCCCTGTCAGAGGTTTCCAGCTACTAGTCCACCCTTATGAACTGGGGCCAACAGATATGACCAATTTCTCATCTGTGGCAGGAGGAACAGTTTCCATTGTCTCCAGCTTTTTAGGCAAATGCCAAGTTTCCACTCTGGGATCCTGTCCAGCTACTTCTAGGAATGGTATCATCAGAGAGATGTCCAGTGAGCTCATTGCTGAGAGGCAGCTCCCTGCTACCTTCCCCAGTCTGTTGCAGGAAAAATCATGCACTACCAACCTTGATTTCTGTTTGGGTTGTTTTTTTCTGATGCACTACCAATGTCATAGTTTGATATGCTTTCTACATTTGGCAGCTCAATGAAAAGGATCTGGAGATGATGTGTTTAGTTTAGAATATCTTGCGTTTTTCACTGGATGAAAATACAGTATTTGCAGCATTTTATTAATATCTCTCAGTTGTCAGGTCCTCCAGTTTCCTCCTTGTGATATTCTCCTGCCAAAGGATTAATCATTTTGTCATGCTGATCTTCCAGCCAAACTAGAAGCCAGCCATTTCTTGATGAAAGTCTGGACACAAAACAATACCCTTGCTGAATGAATAGCTGGTCATTCTGGTCACTCTTACATCTCTGTAGCATGTTTGATGGGAGAAGAAATGACACTTGCAATAGACCTTTCAGATAGAGACAACATAGTACTGGGTACCTGGTCCAGTGTCAAAACTTTGTATCAGTGATCTAGTGAAAAAATAATAATCTCTCACTAGCAAATGCCCATTCCAAAAGAAAAGACACTCATAAATTTGCTTGATTTTTCTTTCACTTGATGGGATTTGGGGTTGTAAATGATCTTCCGTTAGCGCGGGCAGAGGAGGAACTACCTCATTGTGAAGGTGAAGTGCACTGAACTCTGTGTAAAAATTAAGAAAAAAAAGCAAATATTTAAGTAGATAGAGGATTCAGAAAAGAAGAGACATTAGCATATGAGGATGATCTGAGGCAGATCATCAATGTAGCATCTTTGCAGGGCTGACTGAGTTCTGATAAAGGACGCGGTTGGAATCTGGGCCAAAATTATCAGAAAAACTAAACATTAGCAATTAGAAACTGTCCTGTAAAGGGAGGTTTCTAATTCAGACAGGAGCTTACGGGGGCAGCTAAGAGGCTAACATGATTGAAAATGTAGTAGCCTTCCTCTTAGGCTACCCAGTAACAAAAGCTTTCTAACACTCCCCCGCTGCATATGAAAACCACAGAAGGAGGGTTTCTTGGCAGCAAGCAAAACACTTAAGCTGGCCACAGGTATCTCCCAAAAGGATTTTGGCATAGCAGCCTTTGAACACTATGGCCAAAACTGTTGCACAAATGGCTTTGTTTATGGGTAGCAACAGTGCTCTGAAACTGCCTATAAACCATTTATTGCTGTTGCCAAAGTGAGCCTGGCAATGGCAGCAATTATTCCAGCTACATATGTGCATTTGTAAATGGAATCCAAACCTGAGAGAGCTTTGATGGCTGGAGAGAGCTTCGGTGATGCGGCTGCAGCTGCTCTCCAGAGCATTTAACAACAGCACGGGAGAGCGAAATTGAAAACCAAAACTTATGTCATCTGATTTTAAATACATGCCCAGTCTCTGGTGACACGTGGCTCACAACTGCCAGAACTCTTGTTGAAGAGGAGACTCTGCACAAATTAACAAAGGTGCCAGGATGCTGTACGTCCAATCCATGTTATCAGTTTGAACGGGAATTATCAGGACCAGGCAGATCAAAGGGAAATCTTCACCATTCAAGAATGGCAAATGATGAAGGTTTACAAATGCACACTGAAAAGAATACAAGAATAGGGTCGTGCAAGAGCCTCCCCCAAAGTACCAAATCCAAGCCAGAGTCTGTGCAAGTGATTAAATAGTGTAGGTGATTTCATGCCATTGCTTAAGGTGCTGCGCCCGTGCCTTGTTGTATCCAGCCATAGAGACTCACCTCACAATATCTCCTCTTTTCTGAGGAAGAGAACCTCTTCTGCTTATATCGTGCTCCAGTTTTGCACAGCCACCGCTGAAGTAATGAACAGGTATTATGTTGTGCATGCAGTTCTCAGCGAGGGACAAAAATGCCATATTATACTTGTTTTCTACCATCCCATGCTTCTAAGCATCTGCACGAGTTATTGTGCCTTTACTGAAACCTAGAGACATTGTGTAGCTTTTTGAATAAAACATCAAAAGCGTCCAGCACTGGAGATATTACAAACATATTTCATTTGATTAATTAAAACGAAGTCTCTAAGGAAATACTTGATTTCTTGCACCATCCTTGAACATTATACGCTCACACGACCTCTAGCCTTTCATTCCCTACAGAGTACTTGCACAAAATCCTCAGGGTAGAGTATATTATATGAGCCATGGAAAGAATGCAATTTTGCATTTCAGCCCCCATGTCCTTAGTTACTACTGTGTAATTTATGTATTGCAAAAATGACAGGTTTTCCTTTCAGTGGCACAAGCATCTTGACCTTGCATAAGGTTCACTTGATGTAGCAAATGTCCTTACTTTGGTTGCTTTTACATCTCACTTATCTTAAATTTGCTGATTCAAAATAAAGCTGTGTGATGTCAAAACAAAGCTGCTCAATTTTGTGTAAACCCCATATGATGAGACTAAATGACTTTTTATTAGCAATATATCAATTTGTGCTAGATAGAAGATTTATTTTCTTGTGATTGTTTAACTTGATGATGGAGCTCTCGTTTATTACTGTTGTCACTGTAATTAATTAGGAAGATCTTATAAAAATAATCTAGCATTCTGATCTGAGCTCCGAGTCATTTTTTCATT